GGGACTCCCCCAGGATGGTAGGAAACTGCAAAATAGTTTCCTGGTGATTTTTTGGTTTACCTATAATGCAAGTTGAGGGCTGTATATCCTATGTCACCATTGTCCATTTCTAAGGCAGGAACAGGGCTGTTTCACCTTGAAGTTGTCATTCTCATGTTTCAAGGTATGTGCAGCTGCTTTGCTGAATGTGGCATAAGGTCTGTGGAAAATTGTGACGTTTGTAATCTGAACATGTTATATTCAATAAGACAATACATAAAATTTATTTGGAAAGATAGAATGTATCAAATTTTTACGAAGWTGCCTTTTGTGTAAGCCTTCTACTGTTATCCTTTACTTGTCTAAAAGCCTGCTACTCATTTGTATTRTACTATTTTTCATTTCAGAATTTCCTGTTTAAGCGACTAAAATATCTTAATTAGCTATTTTTTACTGATTTAAGAAGTGGACCTGGAAAAATCAGGTCCAGACATGTGGGTTATGGATCCTAAATTAGTGGTCAGGGTTAGGCCCAGACATGTGATTTAAGTGTAACAAAATCTGATCTTGATGACACCAACAATAAATATACTCTTGTTCATGGCCTTATATATATCATGCTTGTGGACTAATAATCTAGTGCTACTCCCTCTCTTCTTTCCCCTTCTCTCATGTCACTGAATTCCCCACCTCCAGGTCAAGGGTCATCACTTGATACTAATCAACCCTTAATCTGGTAAACTTCGAGGTGATACTAAAGGTAATTAGACAAGACTATTGCTGAAATATATGATAATAGCAAATAAAACAATAACAAAAATAAAATCTGCTGCTTTGAGTTATAGGCCAGTACCCTTGATCCAAGCTAGGTTGGTATGTGTACTACTAGTTTTCCACCTGCTTGCATGTTTCAGGAGTAGGCAATCTAGATATTACCAGTCTTTCATCTCCATGTTTGGAAGCATAAATTTAGATTCTGGGATATTTGGGAGATCAGGGTGATGGAAAATGGAATAAAAGAGGCTGCCGAGTGTAAACTGATGGGGACTTGTTCAACAGCCTCGTGGTAAATAGGATCTGATGGAGCAGGTTAGATTTATATTATCACATATACTGATGGGGACTTATTCCTTAATCATGTTTTTTTTTCCTGAACTGTCATTGTAGTTCTAGAAAATAGGTAGTTTGTCTGTCGCTATTAACCTAAACTTGATCAGCAGTTTCAACTGGCCTTGTTAAGCTGTGATCATCTTTCATGCTAGTTAGGCGTCTGCATATCAATTGTTATGCTATCTTATTACAATAAACATCTATCGTGTTGTTGTGCCTGCCATCCGTTCTTTTAGATGTAAATATGACCATATATTTTTTATTCTTCTCACGTCGAGTTTTTAATTTATCTGGAACTGCATGTATATTATATCACAAGCGTTTAGGATGCCCTGCCCTGGTTTTTTTGCCCTGTGTACAGTTGATTTTTTCTATTAATCACATTAGTTTAAGGCAAACTTCTAAAACGTCAATCCCAGATCCAAGGACTCAGATTTGAGGTGATCTGTGAAGTTGGCTTTGACTCCCAACTTGTACACATTCTTTGGTCTTTAGCTTGTTTGATAAGCCACTTAAAACTTAATGTGTATCAAAGACTTTAAGTACAGTAGATTATGACATTTTATCATAATTTGACTTGGTAACATTATTTAATAATTAAAAGAATCCAATGCTATGATTCATGCCTAAGTTTCTACTACCCACCATCAACCTCTGCATGAAGTTATATTTTATAGATCATGATGTGGATATCTCTATATATTACCATATATTGATGTTCGTAACTTACCCATGTTTTAAAGATTTGATAAATAAGTAATTAAGTACCTTATGTGCAAATTGTCCCATAAAAGTGTATTTAAATTCGTTCCAGCTTTTAAATTGAACTCCTTTCTTGACCCGGGGGGGGGGGGGGGGGGTATTTAATTTAGAATGACTGATTTGGAAACCTAAAGTCTCAATGTTGTGGGTTTGAAACTATTTGAGGCAAAAAGTTTTTGTCTTCCATTCTCTGTTTCAAAAGAAAAATCTCCGTTTTAAAAATTAATATATGGATCTCGTTATGAATTTAACTCTGTTATTCTCCTGTGTAGCCTGTGTTTTGAAAAACAATTTTGAAGTGGTCCATTTGACTAGAGAAGCCAAATTGTATGAAAGCATTTAATGTCTTATTTCAAAGTAGCCTCATTTCAAGTTTGAGAAATTATTGCAAAAGTAAGTATAAGCATTATTGGTAATATCCTGTGTTCAGTTTTAGTTTCGGTTATGCTATTTTCACGGCTCATCCCCTGAGTCGACATAGGAATTGACGCAATCCGCTCCCGAAACTCCACCCTCTCTAGGTCTCAATAGTTGTATTATTTGGCACACATACTTTAGATTATTATTTATTACATTTGATGTTTTAATTACAGATTATCTTTCAGGATGGTTTGCTGCATATGCTGGTAAATCTTGGTGCCAGGTACAAACCAAATAAACCTCTCTTCTTTTCTTTTCTTAGAAGGTATATGTAAAGAAATAACAATCTTTAAAAACTACCCTAAAAGTAAAATCAACAGTTTAACAGTTTCACACCCCCATTTTCTTTGGGTTGGGGTAACAATGGAGAATTGGAACCCTTCTTGAAGTTCTTATACAGAGCTGTATCCGAATATACTGCTCGAGACCTCATTGATCTTATCCTGTGCTTATGCCTGTGACCTTTCCTTTCAGGCTCCCGCCGGCGGCCATTTTCTTTCTTTTTAACCACCACCTCCACCTCCACCTTCTCCTCACCGCCATTACTACTATTGTCATTATCTTGGTCTTTCTCTTTGCCGTCATCTGTTTCTTCGCCTTTTTCTCTCTTTACACTCAACTGATCACTTCCTTCTTTAGGAACAATATACACAAAGGAACCATCTTGGAAATCATTTAATTCCAGTACATTTTCCAAGGTCTTGACCACTTCATTCATGGCAGGTCTGCATTTTGGGTGGTGGCTCAGGCATCTGCTAGCCAAAGCTGCCGCCCGCTTTGCCGCCACTACTGGATAATGGTTGTCTAGTTTAGGATCCATGATTCTRTCAAGATTGTTTGAATCTTTCAAGAGTGGCCTTGCCCACTCCACTAGACATTGCTCTCTACTTGGTCGGCTTTTGTCCATCGATCTTCTGCCCGTTAATAGCTCTAGTAAAACCACCCCAAAACTATAAACGTCGCTCATGGTGGTCAGATGACCTGTCATGATGTACTCGGGTGCAGCATAACCGTGTGTACCCATCACTCGAGTGCTGACATGTGTCTCATCTCCTTCAGGACCATCCTTTGCTAGCCCAAAATCTGATAGTTTAGCAGTATAATCCTGCTCATGAAACCAAACCAAAATATACCATTTAGTAAACATGAACATACTTATGGCCCATTTATTAGCAGCTTAATTAGCTTAATTGGACTTGGAGCTTATCCGGTCAGCTATACATGACTGTTTGGTAGTGACTTAATAATATAGAAAATGGTTTATTCAGTAAGTTTCTAGACGGGGATTTATGCAGAAAGTCGAGTTTTTTCTGAATTTGCCTTCCCAATTAAAAAACATGCTCCTTCCATCTATGAAAAACCCCTCCTAAACAAAAATCTTTTCAATCTATACAGATAACTTTATCCAAGACTTAATGGAAAATCAACCAGACAGCTCCTAATTGCACAAACGAATAGAAATGTTATAAAGATTAATGAAAAAAGAGAATTATACCGATCCCAATAAAATATTCGAGGTTTTGAAATCGCGATAAATGACGGGTTTCTCCTCCCCATGAAGAAAGGCTAATCCTTTCGCAGCACCAAGTGCTATTTGAATCCTGGTCAGCCATGGCAAAGAAATCGAATACCCTGAATCCATAAAATCATCAAATCTTGATTAATAAGTTTG